TGTGTCCAACGCTCCCCAATAGGGACACTGATTCCATTGGGAAACGCGGACGGCGCATTTTGCGGAAAACAGCTTGTGGTACGTATAAAAATGACTACCCCCGTAAGACAACGCGAGCTCCGCTATGATGGACAGATAGTCGTTCAGCTCGCGCCGTCTATGGGGAAAAGACGAGCATATGATTTCTGTATAACGGCTGAAGGCTATACAGAATTCGGCTAGTGTCAATGAACGTGATGTAACCTGTGAGTTATTTTTTAGAGTGACTGAAATGTCGCCGCAGTCTACTTGGCGATTGGACTCAGCCGGAGGAAACAAGGACAGGAGAGAACCCAAATCAACATCTGCACCTGCTAGGATTTGAGCTCTGATGTTGTTCGTCACTGGAGGAGGTTCAGATGCTACTGCATTCGGAGGGGCTGGTTGAGGAGTGGCTGAGAAGAGAGAGAAAGGAGAACGCACTTGGAGAGGGTTAAAGGGATGGGAAATCGGGGCTGTGGCCGTTTGCGGAGGCATCCTCACGCGGAGATCGGCCCCCGGGTTAGGTGGAGGAGGAGGAATAGGAAGAGCATAGTGTGGAAGGGGAAAGAAATGCGCCGGCGATTGACCGGCTAACGGAGGCATCCTCACGTTAGGGTAAGCACCTGACGCTTGGGAGGGAGGAAAACTGAAAGAAGTAGAAGGGAAGAAAAACGTTTGGGGATCGTGTAAGAAAGTGGAACTGCCGGGATCTAGAGTGTGAGGTACCACGATGGGAGGGGCTGAGGAAGGGATTTGACCTGGAGGAGATTGGCGCCCATCCGTGACTGGTTCCGGGGCGCGGCCCAGGCTAGCGGAAGGTCTGTGACGCCGTGGCGCGGGGGCGGAGCCTAGCGCTGCAAGTGAGGAAGGAGGTACTGCGGGACGAGCGATCGGGGCCCGGCGAGCCTTGCTCGTTCGAGCCGAAGGAATTGGAGCTGAAACAGAAAGGTGAGAAGATTGTAAGGTGACATATAAATTAAATAATTCTGCTTTTTTCATCCTGCGGGAGAAATTTGCATCAGAATTAATTAGGGCTTGTCTTAGCCCCTTAACTGTCCACTTCCCTATGGGAGGGATGTTAGGGGGAGCTGGAAGGTGGGAAGGCGCGGAGGAAGACGATGATGAAGATGATGAGTTCCTCGCTGGCGGTGGTGAGGGGAGTCTTCGACGCCTTGGAGTATGTGGAGAGGATCTGGAGGGCCGACGTCCCCTGGTTGAGGATGGAGGCTCGATGTTGTCGTTGGCTGCTGGAGGAGGAAGGGTTGCTGGATCTGCGTTTTGCGGTTGAGATGACTCCGAGATGAAAGATTCATCGTCGGAGGGGAAGAGCTCTAACTCGGACATGACTGCACGGAGGCGGAGTCAGATGCTGAGAAATTAGTCATGAGACAGGAGGTAAGGGAAGGCTTTATTTATACTGGCTTCTTCTTGCGCTGATTGGATGATTACCTGAACATGCTCCTCCTGAACTTTGTTTACATAAAACTTCATTTAATCTGATGTCCATGTAACTTAAGTTGCCTTTTTTATTTCTTTGTTAAATTTAGATTACTGTGGTGGAAGGAATTCATCAATTAAACAATGGATCGACAGACATGGATTGTGGGCTGATAATTTATTTATATAAACTTACTGTTTTATTTATGATTAAAGTTGTATAGGAATATGTAAAAAAAAAATGATGAAATGGTAAGGGAACGTTAGAAAAAAGTTTTACAAACCAAAAACTAATATTCTATTTCCGTTAAGAATACTTTCTAACCAAAAACAAACCTTAATTTAAGTCCTGGGAACCAAAAACGTTCTCTCCGAAATCGCCCCTACCCTCATATCAATATATAATTTATTTCTAGAACACAGTTCCATTAGTGGGATTGAATGTGATATAACGCAATAACGTCCACAATGGTTTCGGACACCCAAATGGCTGTTCCCTCAAATAGTGCCCTAAAGTCTCTATGAAAAGTTTTTTAGCATTTAGAAGACCAAACCCAACATTGAAAATGAAAATCAGGTTGATGTCAGAATCCAACGTCAGATTGACGTCAATCTCCAACGTTGGACAGACGATGTGTTGAAAATGAAAATTTTCATTCCAACCAAAATGCAACCCCTGACTAACGTTACAACTTTCTACTCAAGGACCTTGACAGAAATGTTGTGGAGTAAAAAGTACGATATTTGTCTTTCAAATGTAGGCCAACTGTAGGCCAACACCGGGCCCTTATGCAGGATTATCAAGGTGGGCCCCCCTACTACAACACGTGATGACGCAATATCCACGAGCAGGCTAACATGAATAGGACAGGATAGGATCATAGAGACACAGGCAGCATATAAGAGATGAGATGACTGACAAAATCAGGAGTAGCCTACGCGCACAAAAAAAAAAAAAAAAAAAAAAACCACTGCTGGTGACGGCGCACCTTGACACATTGTTACTCACTGCTATGACTACACACACATAGGCCTAGGTCCAAATACATAAAAAAGATGCTCATGCACTTACATTATAGCGGCATTTTACGGGTTTCCTCTGTGCAAAGTTGTCGAATTAAATCCTTAAGATCTAGATGGCGCGCACAGGCATTCTCAATTGACAGTATGGCTAATCGCTTCACTCTCAATCTCCCCCTCCTGTGTCATCTTTTTAAAGAAGCTTCCTATTTTTGGTAATTTATTAATTAATTTGTCAAATTCCTCTTTTCGTTTGCGCTTTTGAAAGCCACTTTTGTGTTTGTAATTTGCCGACTCCATATCTGTCTCAAGTTTTTTTTTACTGTTTTGCACGCAATACTCATGTTCACCCGGGGATTCCCCAGTCCCAATTCGAAACAAATTACACCAAAATCTATCATTCTTCGTTTCAAACATGTATTTAATGATCAGTAAAATATGTTGTCATTATTTATTCAAATAAATTCGCGAAAAATTAAAATGCGATCAGACTAAAAGTAGTAAAATGCGATAGGGGTCCCCGCCCCCGGCTGTCAATCAATATCTTCCAGTCACGCGGGCCCCTGATTGGTCCGGGCCCGTAAGCAACCGCGTACCCTGCTTACCGATAGTTACGCCTGTGAGTACAGTCAAGTAAATGTACTACTGTCCACCTCTGAAAGTAAGATATGATATCATGTAGGCTATGAGTCCATTGCAATGTTGGAAGAAAGAAAGGAAAAATTATCAATAAAATAAAATATTGGTAAGATGTGAAGTAGTGGGATATGAAATGACAATAATTCATTCAACTCATTTGAGAATGAGAGGGAGAGGGAGAGAGAGGGCGGAGAAGAGGGAGGCGGAGACACCGGCGCAGCTTTGAATTGATCCACATGGTTAACGCTTATTTTGTTTTGACTAGCAGGTGCTTGCGCGTGTGGAGTAAGCACGAGCAAACGACGGAGATGGTTAAACATACGCTGAAGCATCTGAAAGACAACACATTTTAAAAATCACAAGTCTTTGGTCTTATTCTGATGCCTGTCACGTGGTTTAGCCTAATTTTTATTTAGGTAATTAGAAATTGGCTTTAAACCCCAGATGAAAACAAGATGTTTCCCATGGCTTTACGTGATTCAACACAAGATTCATGTAATATACAGCAGAGGGAAACACCTATGGAACTTGACAGTCTCCTTTTGGATACCGATACAATATTTGGATTGACCCGTCATTATCTGAAGAGAAAACAGAAGGTAATAACTCCTTGTCCGTTTGCATGTTTTGTTAACTTCATTATAGCCTGCTAAATAAGCCTTCATATAGCCTAGCTGTCAAATATCACATTTAAGCCAAGATGCTTATGGCTTAGCTACCTTTCAAACGAAAACATGCAAAAATATATATTTCAGAACCACGAACAGCTCCCCCGAAAAGACCCATAAATGTGTGTCTACTGGACCCACAGCAAATCCCACTGTCTATCATGTCATGTTTTATATCTAACAGACACCTTAACCACTTTCGTAACCACAGTAAAGTGGGGTAAACACGTGTAGCCTATAATCAAAATGTAGTCTAAAATAAGTCTCTTAACATTTCTAGACCAGTTCACGCATTTTAGGGGTACAATATTTTTTATATTCAACTCCACCAAGAAATAAACTTCCATAATCGATTGTTTTATGGACATGCCATTGCAGATTATGGCCATGTGGTGGCGCTAAAGTAATAGTAAATAGCTGACCACCACACTGAAATTACACACAACACGGTGTGCCTAGCGCGCGCTCATACAGTGCATAAACACACACACACACACACACACACACACACACACACACACACACACACACACACACACACACACACACACACACACACACACACACACACACACACACACACACACACACACACACACACACACACACACACACACACACACACACACAAAATAAATTGTGACAGAAAAGAGAAAATTATAACGAAAAACAGTTTACGTAATAAATAATATTTGCAATATGCATTGAATATAACATAAAATAAATAGATTTTCAGAAAGACATTAAGTAAAAATTGACTTCTCTTGTGCAGACAGCGAATAAACTCGTGAGAATGAAGTTCTCATGACGGTCCCATTAACAACTTTCTTACAGTTTAGGAAAATTAGTAATGCGATTTGAGAGTTTTTCTAAAGTAGGCAATTTTACTCAGCTATGGAATTTATGGCAGTAGAAAGTGGGTCACGGTAGTATACATACGTCTATACTAGTCTATAGTACCACCGTATTATGATTTAAAACAGGTTACATTTCTCCCCTACTCGCGATGCGCCTTCAATATGAATCAGATTCAGGAGCGCGCTGCGATTCTGCTCCGCCCCTCAGTGACTCAATATCATTCTATCTGATCCCTGATTTTAATTCATTTATCGTCAACATGGGATTGAGAAGCGCAGAGTTATAAATTACAGTTAACATCGATGAAATGGATCATTTACAAATCTCTCAGTGAGTCAGAGCAGCGGGGACATTTAAAGCCAGAAACATGCACTCTCATTATTGGGTTGGAGGAGGACGCAGACCAGATTTCAGGAGGTTCACGGTGAGATAAAGCATGATTAAACTTTTCAGATTATTTTTTTATTTTTTTTGTTTGGTAAATTCTTAACATTTGATTCATGAAAGCACACATTGATTCATGAAATATTCTTCAAAATGTTTTTCCTACTGGGGCAAAAATGTTTAAACTAGGAAAACTTAGTTTGGTGGTCTTAGCTGGTCTTTGAATTTAATCTTTAATGTCCTCCGGAGTGGAAATTTGTCTTTGGCTCACCAACACATAAAACAACTGAAAGACTAATAAACAATAAAACAATACAAAGATAATTGGTCACATTATAAGTACAGTTCATGTCACTTTCTGTTACTTTATCAATCACTGGGAGAGTTAATAATTTTAATGGCATTTGGGATGAAGGACTCTTGAACACATTTTTATTTGCCAGAGGGACTCCATAGCGCCTCCCATATTTTAGGAGCTCAAACTGGGTGAAGAGAGGATGGGATTGGGAGGTATCTGCCAGAATACTCCTCACATTCTTCCTTGCCCTTATGTGAAAAGTTGTGTTAAGGACTTCTTACCAACTGTATTTTACTTGCCATTGACACAATTCTAGAAAGTTTATTCTTAAACCTACAATGACCTTAGGGAGATGAAAGTTTAGAACACTCTCAACAATAGATTTATACACAAGTTCTACGATATGCTGACTAATACCAAGGCCGCTGAGTTGTCTGAGAAGATAGTCGCCGTGACCATCTTTTGAAAACATGCTCTGTATTTCCAGAGAAACTCACCTGGAAGTCCAAAATTGTACCAAGATATTTAAAGTTTTCCACAGTTTCAACATGTTGGCCATCAAGTGAAACTGGCTAAATTGCCATATCTTTTTTTTTTTTTGTGTGTGCAAATAGTTAATTCCTTTGTCTTGTTTTGGCAACATTAATTTCTAACTGGCTAGAGTGACATCATGTTTCAATGGCCGTGTGAGCCAGATAGGCAGCATCACCTGAGGGTTTGTTATAGCCAACTAAGGCCATGTCATCAGGATATTTAAATTATCTAAAGGGTTTCTCGTTGATCATAAACTCATTAGTAAAATAATTTAGGCCTGGCCAGGTTGATCTGATGGCTGGTTTTAGAAGGCTTTGGGGATTTTTCAGCTGGTCAGACTGGGAGAACAGCTATCTTAAGTCCAGTGGCCAGTTGCATAATCTGCATAGACCAGTCTTAAAGGATTAGTTCACCTCAAAATGAAAATTTCCTGATAATTTACTCACCCCAATGCCATCCAAGTTGTTCATGTCTTTCTTTCTTCAGTGGAAAAGAAAATAAGTTTTTTGAGGAAAACATTTCAGGATTTTTCTCCACACAATGGACTTAAATTGCAACCAACATGTTGAAGTCCAAATCAATGCAGTTTCAAAGGGCTATGAATGCTTCAAAGGGGTCTGCACGTTCCCAGCTGAGGAATATGGTCTTATCTAGCGAAATGATCGGTCATTTAAAAAATAAAAAAGACTTGTGCTGGTCGGCGACGCGCCAGGGATTACGTCATCACGTTGGAAACGTCACGATTTTTTTAAAAATAATAATAATAAATTAAAACAAAGATGTCAGACGATTTTGAAGTTGGAGGAGAAAACGGGAGAAAATGATATGGAATTTTTCGCCCTTCCCTGCCTTTTTGAACCGGAGTACACAGACAAATAACTTGGATACAATGGATAGATGACGTGCCGCGTGACGTTTCCAACGTGATGACGTAATCCCTGGTGCGTCGTAGACCAGCACAAGACGAACAATTGTGGTTAAAAAGTATATAAATGTTTCTTTTTTTTTTGAGAAAATGAACGATCGTTTCGCTAGATAAGACCATATTCCTCAGCTGGGAACGTGCAGAGCCCTTTGAAGCACTTCATAGCCCTTTGAAACTGCATTGATTTGGACTTCAACATGTTGGCTGCAATTGAAGTCGATTGTGTGGAGAAAAATCCTGAAATGTTTTCCTCAAAAAACTTAATTTCTTTTCCACTGAAGAAAGAAAGACATGAACATATTGGATGGCATTGGGGTGAGTAAATTATCAGGAATTTTTCATTTTGAGGTTAACTAACTTAATCCTTTAAGACTGGTCTATGCAGATTATGCAACTGGCCACTGGATTTAAGTTGTTCTCCCAGCCTGACCAGCTGAAAAATCCCCAAAGCCTTCTAAAACCAGCCATCAGATCAACCTGGCCAGGCCTAAATTATGTTACTAATGAGTTTACGATCAACGAGAAACCCTTTAGATAATTTAAATATCTTGATGACATGGCCATGGTTGGCTATAACAAACCCTCAGGTGATGCTACCTATCTGGCACACACTAAGGCCATTGATAAATTAATCCTCTAGTATTTTTCTTCAAGACTGGTCCTAACTTTTTATTTACTTATATAAAAAGGTAGACCGCCTATATGATTATTACAAAAATATTTTGGGCTGGTTTAACCTGTTTTGTTTTTTTGTTTTGTTTGTTATCAGCAGGACAATGTTTTTGTGAGGACCACATTATGAGTCTTACAGTATTTTTTCTGGTTTTTACACACTGAAAAAAATTATATGATCAATAAGTTATGACAACATATGTTTTTACATTGCTTTAACTCATCAAAATAAATCAAGCAATTTTCAACTTTTTTTTATAAGTTATACAAGATTCAACTCAATTTGTAAAGTAAGTTTAATGCAATTTAAGTTGAAATGACTTAAAGCTGCAGTCCGCAACTTTCTTTGTGTTCAAAATGAAAAAAATGTATATAATAAGTGAATACATCATGAATCCATTTTCCAAACTGTGTTTTTTTGTCTTATCCTGAATCACTATGGTACACTTATAATAAGTGTTTATATTCGGACTATTTTAGGCTGGTACTACTGGTCGTACCACTGCGGAGTAGCCCAGTACCTGCGTGTCTCATCATAGACAAAAACAGAGAGAAGTAGCTCCGGCTACAATGTTCTTCCTCAAGACGCATGCAGTTCTGTTTATTAACCGCTAGAGCGCCAAAAGTTACAGACTGCAGCTTTAAACATCCAAGTTGATTGTATTTTAAAAAATAAGGCAGGAACTTTTTTTTTTTACAGTTCAGTATGCAGTTTATTCCATCAACCTCTTTTCATTCATCTCTCAGTTTGAATTATTTTCTGATCTTTTCTCACATAAGGTCATTGAGGTACCGGCAAGCAGTGAATCAGTGCAGAGTCCAGCACTCAATCCTAGGAAAAGGATTCACTCTGCAGAAGAAGTGCAATGCGGCAGCCGGCCAAACCCGGAGGGTGCCGGTTCAGTGTCCGTAACGGAGCTAAGTTATTCCGAGAACAAGCACGGGAGGGAAAGCCTGTGTCAGCGATGTCAAATCATCGCGAACCAACTGAACAGGCAGGCGCGCGAGCTGGCCGAGCCAGGAACTCTGAAGGTTTGTGCATTCAACTAAACCATTAAAGCGATTCATCTCAGGGCCTGTTACACCATGAAGACAGTGATAGTGGTGTAGAAATAATTGTTTTAATCTTTGCAGACTAAATTGTAATTGAAGGCAATACAAGTTCTAACAATTCCCACTGCAGTCAGATTAAGGAATTTAGGAGAGTTAAAAAACATTTAAAGGGACAGTTAACCCAAAAATAAAAATCCAATCATCCTTTACTCACCCTCATTTTGTTACAAACCTGTTTGACTTTTCTTCTTCTTTTAGAGATGTTCAGCAGATTGGAAGTCTCAGTCTTCTCTCACTTTTATTGTATGGAAAAAATATTAAAAAGAAAATGAATGGTGACAGAGACTGACATTCTCCCTAACATCTCCTTTGTGTTCAACAGAAGAAAGAAACGGCTGCAGAACAACATGATAGACAGGAAATGATGAAAGATTTTTCATTTTTAGATGAACTATCACTTAAAAAGCCTAGAATTTCCATATCAGATTTTGACGCACACACACACACACACACACACACACACACACACACACACACACACACACACACACACACACACACACACACACACACACACACACACACACACACACACACACACACACACACACACACACACACACACACACACACACACACACACACACGTTGTGTTTTCATGTTTTATGGGGACTTTCCATAGACATAATGATTTTTATACTGTACAGACTATATTCTATTCCCTTACACTAACCCTATCCCTAAACCTACCCATCACAGGAAACATTCTGCATTTTTACATTTTCAAACAACATCACTTAGTATGATTTATAAGCTGATTTCCTCATGGGGACCAAAAAATGTCCCCACACGAACAAGGATTTCGGATATTGCCATCTTTGTGGGGACATTTTGTCCCCATAACGTAGGGTTTACCAGGCCACACACACACACACACACACACACACACACACACACACACACACACACACACACACACACACACACACACACACACACACACACTTTCACTGTTATTAGAGTAGTTAACTTTCTATTCATCAACAGATCCTGATAAAATGTTATCACAGTTTCCATGAAATATTAAGCAGCACAACTATTTTCAACATTGTTAAAAATAAGAAATGTTTCTTGAACACCAAACCAGCATATTAGACTGATTTCTGAAGGATCATACACTGTAAAAAAAAAGTAAATTTACAGGTAATGGTCTGTATTTTTTTTTTACAGAATTTTGCCGTTTTGTCATTTTACAGTGAATGCCTGTTATTTTACAGATATTTGCTGTAATTTAAAGGTCCACTATTGAATTTACAGGTAATTGCTTGTATTTTGATTTTACATCAATTTTACGTTTTTTTTTTAAAGGAAATTGTCTGTATTTTTACAGGGTTATGTGTAATTTTACATAAAATATTCCATAATATTTTACAGATTTTTTCTGTTAAATTAGAAAACAAAGAAGAGAAGGTGTAACTGCAGAAATCAGTCATTTAACATGTTTTCCTTGAAGATGTGGGTGTTAAAGTGAGTTTTAAGGTTAAATAATAGTATTTCCGTACTATATAATAACTGTAATAGATCTAATGGTACATTTAATGTAATTTTACTGTAAAATACCATTCAATTTACAGTTTTTGAAAGTGAAAAAGAACAACTCATTGTATAATTTACAGTGAAAAAACGTAAATTGACATTCCCACAATTCCCTGCGTGACACTTCACATTTGATGTGTTTTTGTTGAAGTAACTATGTTTCTTCATAGTTTTCTTAGTTTTTTCCGAATGAGTTATGTATATTAGGGTTTTATGTTACATTTAATGTTGTTAAACTAATGTTTATTGCATTTTTTAAATTTCATGTGTTACCATGATGGTGTTTAATGTTTGTGCGAATGATACTGTGCAGTTTCTATATATTAGTATTTCTACTCTTTTGTGGAAGAGCTGCTTGTGATGAGCCAGCCTGCTCTCAAGGCAATTCGTATGAATTCATACGGTTTTTGCTAATTCGTGCATATTTTACAAGTTACCAAATTCGTATGAATTCGTATGAATGACCTATCCCTGACCCCGCCCCTAAACCTACCCATCACGTTGGTTTAGACAAATTGAGGTCGTGCGAATTAGCCACCTTTTAATCTCTTGTACGAATTGGTCGTGAGACAGCGCTGAATGAGCTTTGAATGATCATGTGACTCTCATCACCACTGTGATTGTTGGTTGACAGTGTATTACAATGGTACAAAACAGATATTAATACTTCAATAGGTCAGTAAATTAACATTATATCAGATAATGAAAGATATTTTTGTGTAGAATAACAGTAATAAACCATAATTATAGGATAAGAAATTACCATTTTCTTACAGTTTTTTTCCTGACAGTATTTTTCCGTTTTTTTAACAGACATTTTCTGGCGCCCCAGCTGCCAGAATATTTCCGTTTTTTTTTACGAGTTGGTTTTTAACTGGTATTTCACGGTATTTTTCTGGTGCCCCAGCTGCCAGAATATTTCCGTTTGTTCACTTTTTTTTCCCTAACAGTGTATGACACTGAAGACTGGAGTAATGATGCTGAAAAGCCAGCTTTTAAATTGCATTTTAAAATATATGAAGATATAGAAAACAGTTATTTTAAATTGTAATACTATTCCACAGTATTACTGTTTTTTTTTTAACCATCTTTGATCAAATAAATGGAGCCTTGGTAAGCATAAGAGACTTCTTACCAACCCCAAGTCCACATATAAATACAAAAACATCTCAAATATACAATATGCATATAAATGCAATTAATTATTATGCATTGCAAGTTCAAAACACCATTTGACATGGACACCTTTGGAGATATTGCTATCATTAAGGATAATACTGATCCTCTGAAGATGAAAATGTAAGATAAAGAAAGACAGAGTATTTAGACTTGTTTGCCCACCGTGATTCCAAAATACCCCTAGACAAAAAAAAGTCAAAATTGATTAGTGTATTTGACACGGCCACCAGCATTCACACTGTCCACAATGATTATTTTAGATGATAGTGAGATATATTGCAGGTACAACAAATTTCAATGACCAGTAGAACCGTCCAACTCAGCAGTATTTTATGGTTCCATTAATCTTGAGTGATGACACACTTCGAGTGGCTATATTCAAGAGAAGAACTGCTGAGATGAATGTAAGCAGTCATGCCTATCATTGGTGATGAGCGCTCTGATGATATTAGCTGTCCGGACACTGCATAAAGAGAAGGTTGCAGCCCACCCATAGTGTTTCAATGAAGAATGAGCTCAAACTAAACTGCAAGATAGCTAGGTTTATGGCAGAAACTTTTAATGAAAATCCCCTGTGCCTTTGTGACTGGTAAACTTATAAAGCTAATAATTTAATATTAAATTGAAGCCTCTGAGCTGATTATCTGGAGTTGGAGATTAAACATTGACTTACAGTCTTTTAGATTTGACCCACTTGTTTCCTTTGTTATTGCTTATATTTATTATGTGACATCATTATTTATGGGTGTTTATACATATATTGTCTTGTTTCCATGCTTGTATACAGCAGCACTTGGTTGCTATTGTTCTTAGGAACAATGCATGTAAAAGGAGGCGTAGAAGTGATAGCATCTGAAAAGGAAGTTAAAGCCACCTAACTTTTACTACTCAATGAAAGTGTGATCCTGTTGGCTTGGTAATGCATTTCCTCAAATTGCCAGAGGCTGTGCATTCCTTCACGTTGACTGGGCATATAAAGTGTTGGACCTCCTGTTTTTGAAGATTTGTCTTTTAAACTCCCGGATAACAGGGAATGTTCTCAGAACTTTGGCTAACATTCTGGCAAGGTTATGAACAAACATTATTCCAGTAACGTTAATATAACATTCATTAAAGGTTATCTGGTCTTTAATAATGTTCTCAAAACATTTGCACAAAAACATTATACATCATTCAATTAACTTTTTTTCTGAAACGTTATAAATGTGTATATTCGTCAAACATTTTTTAAATGTCAGTACTTGTTTCAGAAATGTTTAGAGAACATTCAAAAGTTACATTCCCATAATGTTTGCAAAATCATATAGAATATTCCCTTAACGTTCACATAACCAAAAAACAAAACCACAAACTTTTATAAAATTATTGGACTCTGGAACGTTAAGAAGAAATTCAGAAATAGCATTAGCAAAACATTTTTAAAACATATTTGTGTTAGACCAGCCACAGAGACGAATAGTTCACAGCAGGCCAGCACTTTTCAAAATAGTGTATCCCAGTAGCATTTTAGTCTCATCTTCTCTCTGGAAAGAATATGTGTTGCTTCTTTATGGTGGGAGGGATTAAATAATAAAAAAGACCATATCTAGCTAACACTGTAAGACAGTACCATAACACAGCATTGCTGGTTCATAAAGCTGAAGTGTGCAATTCAGTCACTCCCCTTTCAATCACAACAGATTTCAAGGTTTGTTTTGGGCATAGTTATTCACCCACTTGTTTTGGGAAACTCCTGCTCTCTGCTAGTTGGCTCACAAAAAAAATGTGGTTTCTTTCCATTCCCTCCCTTATGCACTGGAACATAACAGTTTCATCCCATTACTGATCATTGAGTAAGCAAATCTGAGGACATATATTTATTTTAGATTGCCTTATATAATTTGCGTTGGTCAATTATTTTGCATATCAATTGTACATTAGAAAGGTAACGTGGTCTCATTCTGAATAGGTATTTTAAAGATGACTCTACAGACAAGTTAATTAAACTGTGAAAGGTATTTTTATTGCAACTATTGATTTCAGTGTAGCAAAATATCTAATAGTGTTGTAGTTGAGAGTAAAGAATAGTGTGTGTTAAGACCAACACAAGACCAAGACTATTTTTTGGGGTTGAGACCAAGATAAGACCAAGAGTAAGGCAAGGCGAGACCGAGTCGAGACCAAGACCAGACCAGCACTCCTTAAATTTATCTAAACGAATGTTG